GTCTCCTGTGCATGATCCTTCAGGTATGCGGATATTTTAGCCATTTCTGCAAAATGTGAGACTTTCTGTCTCCAATCATCCATAGATGGTAGTCCATAGATGGTAGACAAAGATGTCCAGTTGCCAATGTTCCTACACCTTACCTGCCTTTTCCTTTATCAGTAATCCTGGTTAGAACTGCACCTACTTCTTGGCCCATCAGCAATACATGCTACTCGCCCCTTCTTGAATGTAGGAACAGATGACGTTGTTCTCCTACTCCTACTCCCATCCTTTTGCAAATATACCCCACACCATTTTCTTCCCAACTTCAGTTCTAAAAGGGCAATTGCTGTTTTCTGATCTGAGTCATCTTAAGCCTCACACTGGGGGGTGGTGTCCTGTGCTTTGTTCTGCTTGGGCAGCAGCTTTACTCCTGGGCAGTCTGGCTGCTATGTTGTTTGCCAATTGGCAATTGCTTTTCTTTAAATAATCTGCTTAGCCCAATGGTGGTCTGTTAAGTTTATAAACCAATAACCATCCTCAATGCTAGAATCTTATCACTCCATTCAACCCTGACATTTCCCAGTGGGCACTCTTTGGATTTGTGCCCAGGCTGGATGAAGCCTACGCCCTTTGCTTTCCCTTCCCTTTCTTTTGTTTCTGACAACATCTTCAAGTGATCATGTAAGATACAGTAACTGCTGCTTTGTTTCTGTGAAACTGAACTATCCAGTTCTTCCTTGCATCAGATTTTCCATGGGCCTATGAAGGAAATGGGAAAGAAAGAAAAACCCCACCACATTCATTATTGTATCGTTGGAATTGCAATGACACCATCGGGGGGGGGGGAAAGAAAAATGAAAGCTATACGCTAGCACCAAAGGAGGGATGAAGGCACCCTGATGTATAAACTTTTGGGAAAGGAAGGCAAAAGAGAGGGAATGAGTGAGAAGGGAACAATCCCTAAGAGGAAAAGGCAGGTATTGGTAGACCCAACCCCACCAGAGCTAGTCAGTGAAGTTTGCTTTCCCTGCATGGCTGGGAAGGGGAACAGGCAGGGAATGACCAATCAAACCATGGGATGCCAGGAGTCCAGAGTGAGCATCTGTCAAGTTGCTGCAATTTGGAAAAGAATTTCCAAAACTGGCTGGAGAAACAATCGAGAAAGATGAGAAACAAGCAACTTGTGCTGCAGGGTGGAACTGCCCTCTGTGAGGCTTCTTTGGGAGTGAGCAGTCCTTATTGATTGGGCATTTGTCTTTTAAGCCTTCCTCTGTTGCTCTGGTCAAATGTAATTGTCATCTGTACAGTCCCTGGAATTGCAGATATAGCTGTGACTTCCCAAACCCTTGTGGTTGCATCAGACTCGGGTTTTGTAGGCCATCGTGAGCATGTTGAAGTTCACATACCCCTGCCATATTTGACTCCCTCATACATGGGACAACCTGGCCTTGGCCTCTCTTAGCTAAAGACAACAATAAGAATCATTCATTTATACACAAGGTGCATTTATTACATAGAATTAGATTCTTTGAGATTTGGTGTACCATTACACACAGAAAAAAATTACTACAATTTTACTGCATTCTCCCCAAACAGCAATGTTATGTTCACTTAAAAGAAAGGATTATTTGAAAATCTTCAGCATTAATTTCTATTAATGTAACAGAAATTAAATTAAAAGAGATAAAAATACAGTATGCTGGTGTAGGCTTTTACAGCTACCATCAATTTTAATATTCCCGGCCTTGCCTACAACTTTGATCCTTTTTTCATTTAGCTCACAGTTGGGTGTTTTTACTTTAAACATAGTCAGTTGTGGGTTTTTAATACTATCTTATGAAAGAATACAGAACTTGCCATATTTTTCCAGATCCAAGAAATCGATTACCTCTAGATTCATATTAGATCCCCACATCATCCCCTTCCTGCCCCCTATTTGGGGCTAAGTTTACACTCTTTTTTCTTTTCTTTCCTTTTTTCATTTTTGCCCTAATAGTAGCATAAAATTTCTTTCTTGATCTTGCTGAGATGTGTCTGTTTTCATAATCACTTTGCTGCCATCTCATGTTCATCTGAATTTTTGCACTCCTGTTGCTGTAGGATAGCCTTATTCAAATCCAATCAAGTAGCTATTAAACTGTTTTTAATTTTCTCCATCATTTTAAATTTGGGTACAGCCCTGCTATTCAATAGTAGATGGCGCTGGCAGATTTTCAAATAGAATAGTAATGAGGAAGAAAGTACGTTTTACTCTGTTTTATGTTGATTTCAAAGAGGAGACAAGCTTATGAGTAAAATTAAATGTCAAATCATCCGGGCATTAAAGTATGCCACACCCAAAGGGTGTTTTCTTTACTTACTGTCATGCAAATGAATGAAGCTGGATCAGGGCTCTGCACTTATTCTAGAGAATAAAGGGAATTGAATAGAATTGAAATTTATGTAACTATTGCACCAGTTGCGGCCTTTCCTGGATCAGGAGTCCTTGTGCTCAGTCATTCAGGCTCTAGTCATCTCTCATCTGGACTACTGCAATGGGGTCTACATGGGGTTACTCTTGAAGAGCATTTGGAAGCTACAGCTGGTGTAGAGTGCGACAGCACAGGCAGTTTTGGGGGCCTGAAGAATGGCCCTTGTAACATCTCTGCTCCGTGAGCCGCATTGGCTGCCAGACTGCTTCTGGGTGCAATTCAAGGTGTTGTTAATCATCTTTAAAGTCTTCATGGCATAGGTCCAGGCTAATTGATGGATGATCACATCCCGCTGGGATTGGCCTGTCCCACCTGTGCTGGCATGTTACAGACCTCATCAGCCCGATTATTCTGGTTGGTGGGGTCCAGGAGAAGGGCTTTCTCTGCCGTTGCACCTCTCCCCTGGAATGTCTTTCCCCCCCAATGTGAGGTCAACCCCCAACCCTCCTGACCTTTCATAAGGGCCTAAAAACCTCTGCCAGTTAGCTTGAAGCCCCAATGGGGGAGCATCACAGTGGAGGTGGTTGATCAATTAACAATGAATCCCACCTCCACCCATCCTGCCCCTGCCCTCCCCATCTGTAACTGGATCATACTGATTGCAGGTACTAATTGTGTTTTTAATATATAAAAGGTAAAGGTTTCCCTGTTAATCATGTCCAACTCTAGGGATGGTGCTCATCTCAGTTTCTTGGCTGAGGGAGCCAGGGTTGTCCAAAGACATTTTCCATGGTCATGTGGCCAGCATGGCTCCATGCCAAAGGTGCACAGAACGCTGTTACCTTCCCACTGAAGTGGTAACTATTACTCTACTTGCACTTGCATGCTTTTGAACTGCTAGGTGGGCAGGATCTGGGGCAAGGAATAGGTGCATATGTATATTCATATGTAAATGTCTATGTGTATGTGTATATATGTATGCATATGTATATGTGTGTATATACATCTACATCTACATCTAATTTTTATGATTGTGAGCTGTCCAGAATGACCTTGATGGTAACATGGGCAGCCAATAAAATAACTAACTAACTAAATAATTTAGGCATTCATTTTATTCTCCCCGTAATAAAAGACAACTGTTTAAAAAAAAAAAGATTAGCTGAGTTGTGAAGAAGTTGCAGGTCATTGGCTTTTCACTGTAGTCCTTTCCAAAATCCAAATAATCTTCTTGTCAGAGGAAAATCCTCCTGTGTTCAGCCTGATACTGTTTACTATAAGCTGAATCACATTAATGGTATGTGAGGACTTTCAACAAGATCATCAAAAGTCCATGTACCAGAACTGAAAAACAAAGGAATAGACAAAAAAATAATTCTGGCTTCCTGACATTTGATACAGGACTTGTCACTCGATAAGCCCCATTTTTAGTCATCTATGTTATGAGAAGCTTGCAAATGTAAATGTCCAGAAATAGATATTATTCCTATAATATATAGCATGTTGCTGCCGAAACAACAATGTGACATGGAATCAAGCAGATGTTTTACACTGCAAGACAAAAAGAACTATCCATTGCAATGGGAACTGTTTAGGCTGCTGGTGATGTTTTCCTCCTTGTTTCTTGGTGCTGTTTTCCACTGAATGACTGAATTTAGGCCATAGACCAGAATAGTGAGGCTGGGAGACCATCTTGGTAGGGGGAGATCTTAAGAAAACAGAGGAATTCAATGCTCTTGTAATGCATGACACCAGTCACTATCTGAAAGTCCCAAAGACAAAGTCCAAAGAAAATGGTCTCCAGCAGGCATTGGGAACTGAGGAACACTTTTCTGTGGCTTTTTCCTCAGTGTTAAATCAAGTGATGATCCCTGCTGTAGCTATCCTCCTGCTGGTATAGTTGACGTTTCTCTAGAGTTTGTAGTAACTAGCATTCATTTAGACATCAGTTGTTCAATTCAGGCAGGGTAGCAACTCTGAGGTTCTTGCTGCTTGTGGCTGCTGCCGTTTCCAGAGATGGTATATCCTAAATTTCTTCCTATTGTTGTAAAAAGCCATTCCTCCCAAGAAAATAAAAAACACAGCTAATGCAAGTATTCCCATGATGATTGCAAAGATATTGGGCTGGTAAGCTGTGGAAGAAAAACACAAAAGAGCTGAAAATCAAATGACTGAGCATTCCAGAGAGCTGCAAGTATATTAGGACTTCCCATCCCCCACCCCCTTGACACACAAACACACCCCATGTCTGTTTTGAAAAGGGAGTGTTCTAGCTTTCATAGCTAAGAAAAAATATATACAAATTGCAAAATGTACTGTAAATCAGTGTTTTTAACGCTCCAGATCTTTAAGATTTGTGGATTTCAACTCCCAGAATTACCCGGTCACCCTGCTGTTTTTCCATAGTTTCGAGGTTCTGCTGAGTCTCAATCTGTCTTGCTGTTTACTGTTTTTGTGTGTGCCTTCAAGTTGTTTTTGACTCCAGGAAACGGCCTAGAGAAATCCCTGCAGATTTCATGGCAAGATTTTCAGAAGTTGCTTGCTATTGCTTTCTTGCTAGGGCAGCGAGAGACTGAATGGCCCAAAGCCACCCCCCCCAGGTGACTTTAAGCTTAAAGCAACTTTTGAACTCATAGTCTCTTGATTTTTATCTTGGTACTTTAACCAAACTACCCTCTGTTTCCTATTAGACAAACTTAACTTCCAAAAACCTAGTCCCTTGCTGAGATTCCTCATGTTTTAAGAAATGTTCTGGGTTAAAAACTCTGAATTGGGTTTATACCTCCGAATTCTAGAAGATATATCGGGAATGTTTTGGTGCATCTAAATACACACTCTCCAAGTTAACCATCTGCAAATGGATGCCTTCCTAAAATGTTAGCTGTATGTTCTCTTAATCCCTAGCCAATGGCAGGGACACTGAGGATGAGAATCAAAAGTTAACATATTTGTTTGGCATTAGGTCAGAAAATGGTGACTCAGAAAATCTCTTCTCTTTGGACTGTCATCTTTCCAACTTAACAACAGACGGAACAGGCTTCCTTTCATTTATTTGACCTCCTGGATTAGGGAGAGTCCCAGAATCATCCCTCAAGATCCTCCAATAACAGCAAATGTCTGCAAGCTTTTTTTAGAAGCCTTGCTCAAAAATAGATGGTGAGATGAAGCTGGGGAGGGTGGGTCGAAATCATGTTGTTGTTGGATAAAACAGCTGTTTTGGAATTTATTTTTCAAATGGACAATAAGCTGTGCCTTTCATTTCTTAATCAGTTTATGAGATTATTGTCTTTATGAGCTAAAAGAGGCTCTCTTTAGTTACAGTTTACCGTTCCTTTTTGAAGCTATATGCTATCTTTGAAACTCCTTCGTTGTTAAATGGGTTGCTGGAAGCAGCCAAAAGAAGGAAGCATGGAGTAGTTTTTTTAAAAAATATATAAGGATAAAAGTTGTGGCTTTTAATTTACTACTTTTAAAATAATCTGCAGTCCTGTATTGTGTGGTGGTGATGGTGGTGGCGGAATTTATCTGATTTTCATGAACTCTGATTGGCCAGAAAAAGAAAATGGGGGGGGGGACAAAAAAAAGAAATAAAAAATACCCTTTGACCACTAGATGGAGCTGACGTTAAACAGGAAGATGTTTAACTCTAAGTTTAAGTCTGTCATCAAAGAAATCTTTCAAAAATCCATACAGAAAATTAATTATACCATAAATCACCTAGGGTTTCAAGATGCTAATAATACCCAGGAAATTAAAAAAGATTATCAACCCACTATAGAAAACTATCAACCCACTGGGTCAACTCTACAAATGCTGGACAACGCAAATGACCTAACTGTACCTTAGGAATATAAATCTGACACCAGCTTCTATTATGATGATCGTTTGAATATAATCCTCTCAGTGCAACTGAAACAAGAGTGTCAAGTAAACTCACAACTCTTATGAGGTCAAGTCTGGGAGTTTATCCTCATGCATATCAACAAGGTTGAGAATTCTTTGAGAAAAAAAAGATATGATAGCTATCTTAGAGATGGAAACTTTATTCCACAAGGATTTGCTCCAGGTTAATCTACAGTGTATAACAACAATCTTGGGACATTTTTATGGATATAAATAAGGCTGAGAACTTCCTGAGGAAAAGAGACTTGATAGATACCCTTGAAAAGAAAAAGATTTCATTCTATGAAGATAGAAGCTGGAGGGAGTGACTTAAATACAATGATTTAATTAGGATAGATTTTTTTATATAAGCTTTGATATATGTATTGAAAAAAAGCTTTAGGTAGCTTTATAAGTACACAATGCATATAAATGTATACATACAGTACAATTCATATATTTACAAATGTATGTATGTATGTAAATGTATGTCCTCTGTTTTTTGCCTTACTTTTTGTTTTTTATGTAATGTTGTGAAAGCCTTAATGTAGTTTTGTGTTTTGGGTTCTAGGTTTGAATGAATAGGTTTCTTTTCTTGTTGTTGTTGTTTTCTTTACTTTTGTTTTGTTTTGTTTCATTTTTCCCTTTTATATATAATATTTGAGTATTGTTTATAGTTAGTAAAATATCCAAATCAGGGAAAGTGTTTTCTCCCTTTCAGGTTAAAAAAAAAACCCTGAAATTATAGAGAGGATTCCCTTAATATGAATTATGATAAAGATTAATGAGTCAATAGAGATATATATTGAGACTTCCGGTGGCAGGCGACTTCGTCGGTCGCAGCTGTTTGCTGCCTCCCGCCTGTTTTGCGTAAAAGCCGGTTTGACAGCCAGCACCAGCTGTCAAAC